TCCAAGATCTTCAAAAACCTTTCCTTGACCGAACCAAAGACCAGAGGAGTCTTCTCCAAAACACCACGGGTAATCTCCGACGAGATGAATTCCCACATGTGCTCGCTAATCGACTCAGTACCCTTACCTGAGCCGGAACCAGAACCTAAAGCTCCTTCTTGGAAGCTCATCACCAAACTAAAATACAAGCATGCAGAGGATCATAACATACTCAAGAATTCTCTTCCCCAATCTTCTTAGATTCTCCAAGACTTTCCCCGATTCGAGTATGGATCATGTGCTTTCAGTAGTACGAGCCCAATACTACCTTCCACACCTATCCATACTTTCCTCCAGGATCATCCCGAATCCTCTAAGTCACCTACTCCACTGATGCATTAAATATCCGCTAAACAGCAACACGATACCCACCGAAGCACCTCCTAGGCTCCCCCTAGGTTCCCAACCTCACCCTGCCATCAGCTGATGAAGAACTCCTCATGATGCCAGTCATCCACCTCATCAATACTGACATATTCACTTAGTAGCTGACTCCCATCATCCAAGAGTTCCACAAAGCACAAAGCAAGCAGCATTCGTGCAGTAACACTCTGATCCATAGAACTATCATAGAACATTCACCCTACACACTACTACCGATACAAGAAATCCCACCCTTACTTCCGATTGCCTTATGCATGCAAATTATACACAGAACAAGATCAAATATAGACTGTCGAATAACAGACTCTACCCTAGGACCACAACCAGAAAAGGAACATGAAATAAGGCCAAATCAATTATTATAAGGCTATAAGATCCTAACCTTATACAATTTTTAAAGCATACACTTAGCAACTACTGATACCACTAATATTCCCATTACAGCACATCATTCAATACTCCCAAGACTACTAAGCATCACATATATCAATCCAATCCATCACTGACTAATCAGCTCTAGCATGTAAGTCTACCAGCTCATACAATAAACATTCAAAGGCATCTCTCCTAACATTCTATCATGCAAAAAACTGAGCAGATCCTTAGCCCTAACTAGCATGCGATTCATAAATCAAACATAAAAAATAACATGTGTGGCTAATTCGGGAAAACTTACTCGAGCTCGGCTGATTGCATGCACCACACCCTTTCTTATCTTAGAAAACTCTTTCCTTAAATACTTTTCCTTTTTAAAATTTTACCAAATCCTCGGTTTGAGTTCAGACAAACTCAAGAGTATGTCTGAATCCCTCAAACCAAGGCTCTGATACCAGCTTGTAACGACCCAAAAATCAAGGGTAAAAATTTAATTTTTATTATAGTCAAAACATAGATGTCGTTTATTCCAAAAACATTGCTAATTAAAACATTTATCAGAGTTCATCCCAAAATCACATATGGCGGAAAACACGGGTGTATGCATTGCTATCAAGTCGGGCCCTTCCTTTCCAAACCGATTATACCTGAAACCATAAACAAAACTGTAAGCACGAAGCTTAATGAGTTTCCCCCAAAATATCATATAGAATACAATCACAGAATAACATCGACCAAAATATCATCCACAAAATATCATCAGTATATCCCCCCATGGTCTTATATCCAAATGTCATGGGCTCCCCCCATGGTCTTTCAGGCAAGTGCCAGGAGCCACCTCTGGGTCTTCTATCCAAGCATCACAAAGACAACTAGCATACCGTCTACAGTTACTTAACTAATAATTGCTAGAGTTCAGACTCTAGTCTTTCATACAGTGTGCCAGGAGCCGCCTCCTGGTCTTTCATACAGTGTGCCAAGGGCTAACCACCAGGTCTTCCTACCATACATAAACCAAATAGGCCGACATTGGTGCCTTCAACCCATACGAACAATGAGGAGACTCACCTTGAATGTTGAAGCTCATTGCACGAAACCCTATCTGCTGACCTGCAGACTTCCCAAACTAGCAATACCCAAACAACATCCAATTAGCAATTGAAATCCATACCATGATCCATAATCCAAACTTGGGGTAAATTGACCATTTTACCCCTAGCCCATCAAGACTCACAATCAAGGCCCAAGCCCAAAACTAACAAGACCCAAAACTATAAAATCCATAAAACCCCACTAATGGCCCAATTTTCCAAATTAGGCCCAATACCATATGGGTCTTATCCTAAGCCCATATATTTCTCGAATACAATTTAGGTTACCTCAAACACCCCTTGGGACAAACTCGGTCAAAAGCATAAGTTAAAAGTCAATGTCAACGCCAAAGTCAACGGTCCAGGTAACCTAACTCGCCGAGTTCTCATCAAACCGCAGAATCACGAAGAATTGATCCAACTCGTCGAGTTCCCTTCAACTCATCAAGTTTTCCCCTCATTTTCATCAAAATCGGGACAATCCCAAACCAACTCGCTGAGTTCTCCTATGAACTCGTCGAGTTCTTCAGTCAGCAAACCCACTTAATCATCAAGATAAGGCTTCAAATTGCAGATCTCGTCCCTTAAGGCTGTATTGATGAGTAAAGTCTCCAACTTTACTCTTATACAAGGCTAGAAGAAGCTCAAAAGCTCAAAATAAGCTAGAAGAAAGGCTTAATGGATGCATGGAGCCCTTAAGACCATAAAGTTGGCACCTTTATGCCAAAAGAGCTCCCGTAGGACCCTAGATCTGAAAGGGTTTGTCCAGATGAGATGTCCAACTCCCAACAACCACTCCATTTGGACCAAAACATGCAAAAGAACCCTAAGAAGGAGATCTATGAAATCACAAAGCAAGGTTGAGACTTTTTACCAGAAGAGTGTCGAAAATGAAGCAAGGATTCGAGATCTAGCAGCTCCTTCTTGTATCACCAACTCTCACCAAACTTCTCTTCCTTCCAATGGCTTCAAACACACCACAAAAGCACTCAAAATGGCTCACAACACTCAAAAATGCCTTAGGGTTTTGAGGTTAGGGTTTAGGACAATGGTGGCTGGAAATGAGGCCAACATATGGGGTTTAAGTTGTTTAAATAGGGTGTAAAACCCCGAAATCAGAGTTTCCCAAACCACGTCCAACTCGCCGAGTTGGTCTTCAAAAACACGTGCGACCAACACTTCCAAGACGTCGAGTTTCTTCCCCCAAACTCGATGAGTTGGCCTTTAGAAATGAGGTTTTATTTCCATAATTGACCTTCTAGATTCCGGATGTTACACGATGCAAGGAGGGCTGGGAGGATTAGGTTAAATGTGTTTGTATTGGTCGTATTTAAATATAAAAAAAAAAATGAATAAAAAAATCAAAAGGGATAAATAGTAATTTCATACCAGTTAGGAAAAAATAATGAAACCACAAGGACCAATCACACAATCAATAAAACCATAGTAGGGGAGAGACTTAGCGTGTAGAGACTTAGATAGTTATACTTAATCAGTCTGTTCTAACAAACTATATAGACCAACCGTGTAATTTTTTCTAAAAAATATAACTAAACATATAACATGTATATAAATAATTCAAAATAATTATGATATTAATAATTCGTATACAAATTATTAAATAAAGTAGGGTTTGGATATACCCTATGAGAGAAACATAGAAAAGAAAACCATTCTAGCTGCCCTTGTGTATTAATGAAATGCATACGACATATAGACTATGTGAAATATATTTAGTAGATACGGTGTCCATAAATTTGACCATACCACAAACCATAAGGACAAGGATGGAACATTTAATTTAGCCTAAAATTTAAAATCATATTATGACACTGGATTGAAGGCACCTTTCTCCTCCTGTGCCCTTTTTTAGAAAACATATATGAGGTTGACTGTACATGAAAAGAAGGGGTCGTCTTATAGTATTATGCAATTGGACGTAGTAATCATCCAACCAATTATAAAGCACCTGTGTCGGACCTACTGACTAAACTATCTAAATAAATCTATCAAACAAATGTAAATCAAACGCTAAAAATTAAGATCTTTTATATGTATATATCTATTGCATTCTTAATTACTATTATATTTAACGCTAATCATGCACATGCATCTACTCCATGGACACAAACTATATAACCAAAAAAACTCATTATAACTGGATTAAAGTGATCAAATCACCTTTTTTTACGATTAAAATTACTATCTTTTTATAATAAAAATGACCAAAAGACAGTCCTGACTTGCAATAAACGAAGGTGGTGGTACTCTTGTCTTGAAGTAACTCGACACCAAATAAAAAAAATGAAATATCGTTCGAACAATCTTAATCAAGCGCACTTGAGACCCTCTGGCATTTCTTGACCTTTTGATGCACTTTCTTCTGTCGCTCAGCTCAGGTCTTATTGTACTACCAGTACCCATACTCTATTTATTGAAAGTACAACTTCATGAAGCCAAGATACAATACAACTGATATGATCACTTGAATTGTGATTGTCATAGTGTGCTGGGACGTTAGGGCCTGCTGCTTGAGCTTTTAGCGTCATAACATGTAAATTTTCGCAATAATTTTACGATGACAATTTAATAATATATATTAGGATAAGGCCGGCTGCTGCTTGTATAGATCTCATGTCAAACACATCTTGAATTATTAGTTTAAATAGCTACATGAAATCAAGACCTAATAGTTAACGATAGATAAAAATATATGAACCATGCAATGCAACATGTACAAATCCACAACCAAAATGGTTATATATTTTTGACAAGTAATATCCATTATAAGATATATATTATACATATACTAGATATTATCTTGTAAAATTTTGACCAGACATGGAGGATTAATAGATATATACATACATATTTGCATATAAAACGTTACAATATATTTGCTCAATAAAGTAGGCCATAATATAGAGGTGACTCTACCTTGGGAAGGGCCCGTTGAGACTCGAACTTCAATCTCCATGCACATGCAAATGTTCAAAAAACAAACTCTCTCTCTATCTCTCTCTCTACAGTGGTACTATATAAGGATACAAATGATAGAGGAAATGCACTCAAAAATCAAACATCATTTAAAAAAAAAATCAAAAAGTTTAGATGGCAAAGGTGAGAAGTGGTAGTAATGGTAAGAAAAACAACGGTATTTTGAAGCTTAAGCTAGTTCTGGAGAGATTGCAAAAGGGTCTTTTCTTAGCCAAGAAAAGGACAGAGTCGTTTTCTGGCCAAGAAATGGTACCAAAAGATGTGAAAGAAGGACACTTTGCTGTGATAGCATCCGATGATTATGTTGAAAGGAGATTTATTGTTCCTATCACTTATCTCAGACATCCTGAATTTCTAAGACTCTTGGAGAGGGCTGCAGAAGAGTATGGATTCGACCATGAAGGTGCATTGATGATACCTTGTAGACCAAGTGAGCTAGAGTGGATATTAGAGGAGCAAAGAAGGTCTGAAGATGGTGAAAATTGGCATTCATATAAAACCATGGTGGAAAGCTGTTGAAATTTTGAACATATAGTGTATTTATAAAACGTAATCTCTACTTTTTTTTATTTTTTTCAAATGTTTGTTATCGGAATGCCTATATGCAAATCCTTGGCAAGTGAAATTAAAAGGTTTTATTGTGAACCGCCCTTTAGTTCTTTTGATAAAAATATGTGTAACATATTTTTAAATTTGTTTATGTAGGTGAAAATTGACGATTTTATATATGATTGATTGTGCTTTTCTACTATATCGTTTTCTGTTGATACGACGGTTACTTTTTTCAACGGGAAATTTGGAAGTTTGAGTACCTATTCGTCGATCCAAGAATTCTGACCTAAATTCCGATCACAATTTAATCCAGAAAATAACTAGAATTTATAATAATTTTAATTTTTAACATCAATAAGATACAAAGTTTAAATATCAAAATATCATTTGTAACTCGTAACTTTGCAATAGGGATGAGCAGTTAGTACCAAATCTCGATCTATACCGGAACCGGTACCAAATTTAAATATATGGGACAATACTCAGTATTTTAAAATCATGAAATATTTGAGAATAGTATCGATACTGGTACTAGTACCAAAACTGGTATCCGTACCGGTAATGTTAGTTCGGTTCATTACTAGGTATTTTTGTTCATCCATTTCAGCATTTGGGATTCTTGGATTGGTACTAGTTCTATCTCGTAAGGGTTGTAATTCGTAACTTTGCAATAGGGATGAGTAGTTAGTATCAAATCTCGATCTATACTGGAACCGGTACCGAATTTAAGCATATGGGACGAGACTCGGTATTTTAAAATCATGAAATTTAGGAATGGTATCTATATCGGTGCTAATACCAAAGTTGGTACCGGTACTAATAATGTTAGTTCGGTTCATTACTAGATATTTTTTTGTTCATCCATTTCGGTATTTGGGATTCTTGGATTGGTACTGATTCTATCTCATGCTCATCCCTACTTTGCAAGAGCCAGTCGACTTGGAGATTAAAGAATGAAACATCAAGAGTATGAGGGTCGTACCTTTGCAATTTTATTTGTGAATTATTAGGAATTTAGGTTAATATTATGGATTAGGTTGATGTAACAAACATCAAATTGGTTATGTATGTGATTTAATGTTGATGTAAACTGAACATCAAATATATTTACGCTTTCTAGTAGTATTAAATATTGTTGGACCTTTTTATACAAATCTTAATGTGGTGTTTTTGGTTAGTTAGGTTAGAAAAGTTAGGTTTAATTCAAATAACTTATTTTGATTAGCCAACTTGGTAAAAGAGAATTGCTAAAGCTTAGTAGTAGTTTTCAATAGGGGTGGAATAGGTATAGTATTAGTCATTTTTTTACTAAATCATGTACCAAACCAATTATAGTTGGTACAAAAAGTTTTATTACCACTACAATACCAAATATAGTTGGTACCAACTTGTTTGGATATTAATAAGTTCAGTTAGTATATGTTGGTAATGGTATATACGAACATGTATTGGGGTTTTGTGAAGGACGATTTTCGTGTTCTTGAGTGTTTTGAAACGTGAATGGAGGTTTTGTGAAGGATAGTTTTGTAATGGTTGAGATTAAAAATTTGATCCAAAATGATTTTATTAATTTCTAACATGAGTTAATAAATTAAAGTAGTGGAGGAAAATTGGACACACCAACATGTGTTTAAAACTTTAAACTTTACTAATATGGTAAATGCTAATATCAAACCTATTAAATCTTAAACACCAAACACTAAATATTTAAATATACAATATATATATATATATATATATATATATATATATATATATATATATATATATATATATATGGAATTGGTTGGTATAGTATTATTGTGGTATTGAAAACTTAATATCATTATTGTACCATGATTACTCAATTGGTATGGTACTGCCAAGTAAACATGATGGCTACCAAACATATTGGTTCTCGACATTCTTGGTTCGGTTAATAACATGTTTGTTGGTTCTTCGTAGTACATATTTGTCAACCCTAGTTTTCAGTAACAACTTAGATAGAAAATGTTTTAAATAACGAATTTGTTGATTAACTGCATAATTATGAGAGTCACAGCGAAATTGAATCGTGTTTTAGTCATGAGCTTTTAATAAACCATTTTTTATGACTATTAGTTTATGCAATTTTATTATATATAGTAATTAAAATCTCCATTGAAATATTTGTTTGGGCTAGTATGTGTTTTACACAAAGAGACATTGACTTTAGAACGTATCCCTGTGATTCGGAAATGCTTATTGTGCACTGCCCCTTTGTGAAACAAGTTGTGATTTTTATTACTCCTTCTATGTTTGTTAAGTTTGGCACGTAAATAAAAGATATTTAAATAGTCTTATCACAATACAAAATACAAACCTAATGTATTGAAAGAACTGAATGATTTCATTCACAATAGAGCTCTAACTCCTTATCGCTCTTGTTATTTTCAGGTATGTATTTTTTATAAGTTCACATGCACAATGATTACATATTATTTTCTGGAATTTCTTAACTAACAATTCCTTAACATACAAGTATTTATTTTGATTAGTATTTTCACTATGGAAAACTATGTTATGCTAGAGAAAACTTTCTCTACTTTCCATGCCACCAACATGCTCCTACAGCAACAATATCGTGAGAAATGTTTAAAAAAAATCTGAATTAATCTCATGTCTTCTTGTGGCTAAACAAAACATTGAGTTATTGATGAAAAATCACCAATCAATCCCGACCGGTTCTATTGCATTCCCTGAAGTGAATGCAACATCATATAATCATAATAGTCATGGGTATAACCGAGGTCATGGAGGTTATCATAATTATCATAAAAATAACAAGATTACAAGTAACCACCAGAAGTTGAAAAATAACAAAAACCCACATCCTAATGATAAAATTGGCCAAGGCAAAAAGAAAGTTGAAAATGTTTGTCACCGATGTGGAATGACCGGTCATTGGTCTTGTACATGCCGCTTACCAAAGCATTTTATTGATCTTCATCAAGCTTTTCTAAAATCTAAAGAAAAATAAAATATCAAAACAAATTTTATTCAAAATGATTTCCATGACGATCAACCAAAAATGACATATTTGGATGATGCGAATTATCTTGTCTACCCAGAATGGACAAGTGGTGCTATTGATGGTGATGGAAAAATAATATATAATAGTTTTGCTTCATGTCATTTATTATGTTTTTATGTCATATTCGTTTCATCAGAAATGATGGCATCATAATCTTCTCAAAGTAATAAAATATGACCTTATTTCTCTAAGTTGAATGTTTCTTATGTTTTATTTATTTATTGAAGAGATATGGATATTCGGAAAAGAAATGAGAAAGATATATGTCCTGCAGAGAGGGCAAGGACACATGGCATTTTTAATAATGAAAAAATATTTTGTTTATTTATCAATTGGAGAAGAAAATGTTAATACAATAATAGGTAATGTAAAAATGATTGAAGGCTCCGGAAGAGCGAATATAATAGTACCACAAGGGACAATAATTACAACTGGTGATGCATTATTTTCAATAAAATCACCAAGAAATTTATTAAGTTTTAAGGATATTCGGTCCAATGGATATCATGTTGAAACAACTCATGATGGTGATAAAGAGTATCTCAATATTACAAAAATGATATCGGGTAAGAAAAGTCTTTTGGAAAAATTACATGTATTGTCCTTCGGATTGTATTATACAAATATTATAATGATTGAATCTTATGCTATTGAAAATAAAATGTATGATAACAACTTCAAAGTTTGGCATGACCGGTTGGGCCATCCCGGATCAATTATGATGCCCAAAATAATTGAAATTTCAAGTGGTCATTCCTTGAAAAACCAGAAGATTTTTCATGCTAATGAATTGTCTTGTGTTGCATGCTCTCAAGGAAAACTAATTTCTCATCCATCATTGAATAAAGTTGGGTATAAAAGCCTTAGTTTCTTTTAAAAAATTTAAGTGGATATATGTAGACCAATTCATCCATCATGTAGACCATTTAGATATTTTTTGATTTTAATTAACGCATCAACTAGATGGTCACAGGTATGCTTGTTGTCTAGTCGTAATCTCGCTTTTGCAAGACTACTTGCATAAATAAACCGCCTAAGGGCACATTTTCCCGATTACCCAATTAAGAAAATTCGACTTGACAATGTTGAAGAATTTACATAACAAGCTTTTAATGAATATTGCATGTAAAATGGGTTAACTATTGAATATCTTCTTGCATATGTTCATACACAAAATAGTTTAGTTGAGTCGTTAATCAAACACTTTCAATTAATTGCAAAACCATTACTAATGCATTCTAAACTTCCTAATCGACATAAAGGCATGCAATTTTACATGCAACATCACTTATATGCATCATGCCAACTAGTTATCATAAGTTCTCCCCTATTCAATTGGTTTGCGGTCAAGAACCAAATATTTCCCATCTAAGGACATTTGAATGTGCGATTTATGTACCCATTTCTTCACCTTACCGCAAAAAATGGGTTCTCAAAGAAGAATTAGAATTTATGTTGGATATGAATCTCCATCTATATTAAATTATTTAGAACCATTAACTGGAGATTTATTTCCAGCTTGACGATTGTCATTTTGATGAATCGACTTTTCCAACGTTAAAGGGAGAAATAAAGAATCTGGAAAATAAAATCTCTTGCAATGAATTATCACTCTCATTTTTAGATCCTCATTCAAGTCAATGTGAACTTGAAAAAGATAATTCATTTACAAAATGTAGCATATCAGTTGCAAGATGTATTTATTGACCCTAAGTGAGTAACAAAGTCTCATGTACCAGTTGTAAATGCTCCAATTAGAATTGATATTTCAGAAGGAAAAAATACAGCTACAAATGAATCTAAGGCACGCCTGAAGCGTGGTGTAACATACACGTTCAGTTATCGTGTTATGTAATTTTAAAAGTGAAAAATATAATGCAATATTATATGAATTTGAGCATTGAGTTCTAACAGA